TGCAGGGTGGTTGAAGCCATCTTTAATATATAATAAATTTATATATATTACAGTAAAAAGCGCGCAATGGTTCTGGCGGTTGATTTATCGGTGGGGATTTGAGATTTACCCTTGCATAAGTCAGCCCTGGTGTCCCGGAATGAAGCTTTAACGCATAACAATACAGTGCCACTTGGCAGCCTTTTGTGGCAATAGTATTGCCAATACATACTTTGAATATTAGCCAAAGTGGCTCATAAATAAGATTTTTAGTAATAACTTAACTCCAGCGCCACCTTGCGGGCGAAATTGTGAACTTCACTTACCGTTCTTCTCCATGACTATAACATTGAGTTCATATATTGCCGTAAGTTCCGGTATTCTACCATGAGTATTTCCAGAGATATACAGTAAGCAAAAATCGGTTTGTACAGGAGGTGCCACACCCCCTTTATATATCGAATTTTTTTCAGCCTATAACCATCCTTGGGACGTCTGAATCAGGTGTCCGAAATTTCAAAATAATCGGTTCGGCCGTTCTCGAGCTTTGCGAACACATAAAAAGCGTCTTTCAAAACATATATTATTATAGATTATAGGTTATAGAAGATTGGTATGAATCGAAATGATTTTGAATATGATTGTCAGACGAAAGAAAACTGTTTAAAAGGAAATGATTTTTAATGGGCTTCATTTGCAAACTACATGTTTAGGTCCGCGACCTAAATATATTGCACCACCCTAATCCGCGTTTTGTCACTTGATGTAAGAGCACACAAACACATACATAAGTTACGGCTATCTTTCCAGCCGCTAACAACAAGCCCCACTGTACGGTAACTTATTGGAGGGGAAACTTAACGAAGGTTACTGTGCGGTGGGCTACATCCCTTTTCGTTTGTTGGCACTCTTTCACTTCTTAGAAGACAGCAAGGAGATCACGTCAGCCATCACACCACGTTCGGTAAGCCAACTCTTGTGAGCCACACTATTCAACCTCATAGATATTTACAAATAAAACGATTTTTAATTTCACTGCACTAAAACCACTGTGTCTTTTATTTTCTCCTATTTTCGTTACATTAACTTTACGCTGGTGCGCTCCATCTTCGTGCGACGCCACCTGCGTAAATACTACATGTAAGAGGTTTCCTTCTGTTTAAAATCTCAAATTGAGTTCACGAATAAGTTAATTGAAAAAGTATGGCAAGCAGGGTTGTCACGTTGGTAAATTGTTACCAAAATTGGCAGAAAAAAATTGGGTTGGTAAAAAGGTAAATTTCTTCTCATTTTGCTAGTTTTCTTTTAAGTATTTTGTTTGAAAAACCAATTAAAACTTTTCATTCCCGCTTTATTTTTCGTAGTTATGTTTATATTATAATTTTCTTTCCGAAAGTGTAGTCTACTTTATTGCGTAAATTTTCGAACGCTTTAATGCACACTTTTTATATACAATTCCACATATAAATGTATATCCATAAAAGGCGAACAATATCGTGCTCCATTCAAAATTCATTTTAGTAGAATCCTGAGGAGCTTTTGATTACCTACACATGTTTTAATGATCTTTAAATAAAAGAAAAAAATGGGCAGGTATGTAATTATACACTATGAATGTTGGCGAAAAAATTCAAAAATCAACGCCATATTTATCGATGGAAATTGTTAAATAAACCAAAAAATGACAAAAGACCAGCGAAAAAAATATTAAAAAAAATCAACGGGAACTTGTTGGTCATACTTAAATTCCATGGGCTATAAGACTCCATACCTTAAATTGTTCTAAAAATTCAGAATAAAAGCTCGAAATTTAGGCGAACATTTTGTTAATTTTTCTAAATGTTGTATATAGCTTGAATCCTTGATTCTTAATGGGTTCAGTTAAAACGCAAACAATATTCTTATACAAAAAAATACCAAAAAATTGTTACTTGAGAAACATTGTGAATATTAAAAAAATCACCAAGCGGCTTTTGAGTCACTGTATTTGTCTATAATAACTCCAGTTGAAGTTTTTTCAAATGATGAAGTTTCGTTGTTGCCTTTAGTTTCATCACTTTCGCTTTTCGTTGAAGGAAACCGAGAATATGCCATTAATATGATCTCAAATACGATATCATTATTTAAATAAAATGTTCTTTAAAAGCAATATTAATTTTTATTGAAATAAGGCTGACTTCCGAAACGTGTCAATACAATGTTTGGATATTGTTATACTGTGGAATTCAAACTGTATGCAGAGTTGCGACACATTGCAAACATACACATTGCATATTTTAAATATTCAATATAGAAAGTAACAATTGTTCTGAATTTTCCATTTTTATAACACCAATGGTAATCAATAACAAACGAAGCATCAACTTTGTTTGTGATGCGATGATTGCTCTAGCGATGCGTCTCGATAACTTTTCGGATGCGTTTTGGAAAAGTATTCATTGTCAATATTTTGTAGTTCGACGTAATGGAACATTATACTTTGTACGTATGCAAAGCAATTGATGATGATAACTTAAAGTTATTGGTAGATACTTTTTGATTTGGTAATTTTTTTTCAAATGGATGGTAAGTATTTTTTTTTCGTTAGTGGCAACCCTGATGGCAAGTGAGAAGTTTAAGAAAATTTTGTTTGAAAATATTTTGAAGATGGTTAAACAAATTTTAAACCTCCTCTTTTTTAATTGATTTTTCTTTAAATAAGTTTCACTCAATTTTGCACGTAGAAATTTCATACACTCAGCGAAGCGGGTGAGGGCGGTCTAGTTGGCTATAAAGCTGCATACTCAAAATATTTCTAAGAAATCTTAGTCATTAAAAACCTCGAAATTATTCAAAAATGTGTGGATTTTTTTAATATTGCACAAAGATTAAAACTTCGCTTTATATGGTTTTTGTTAAGCAATAAACTATATTTTTATAAAATAAAAAAGGAATTAAAATTTAAAAATAATAAAATAAGTAGGGAAAACTTGACAATGTGAGTGTCGTATAGTTATGATAAGCACTATACGTCAAACATGCACTTTATTATACTAAAATTATATAGGATACAAAACTGCATACCCAAAATGTTTCCCAGAATTCTTATTAAAAAGCTCAACAGTTTTACGAAAGTGTTCAGATTTTAAATATTGCACTAGTTGGAAACTTGGATTTATTCGGTTTTTGTTAAGGAATAAACTATATAAAAGAAATTGTTATAAAAAGTATCAGTCCAGCACCTTCGTCTTGACCTGCGGGCTGTATCGGAGCCACAGCCGCTAAACTTTAACGTAGAATACATACGTGATATTTTTAAAAGCACTTTCAAGTCAAATACTGCAATGAAATATTTGTTTTGATTTTATTGCACTCAATTTAAAAAATCAATACAAATACAAAATATGAATAATTAGTAATAGTGAAACAGCCCCACATTAACTGCAATCATATGTGCCATCAGCCAATAAATATATGACAGAAGAGTATCTTCTGTGTGGTAATATTTTATCATGGGCAACTGTCATTACTTGGATTAATTTTCATTTCGTTTCATACTGCAGAAATGCGTATTACTTTTGATTTTAGCTTAAGTCCCCTTATTAGTATACGTCTGGTTTAGAAATAAGTAAATTTATTGCGTCTGAAATTGTGATTGAGTTGAATTTGATTTTTTGAATACGCGTTATCCCTTCTAAATACAGTTTAAAAATAAAGCCCTTATAAACCCATTTCAATTAATACCCATTTTTAAATAATTCCTTAAACTTATTAAGTAATTTGAATTTAACTTTTTAAACTGCCCTGCAGGGAGCTTATACCTAACTTTAGTCTGTTTACGCGAACCCTCGTGCTAACTATTAGCTGTATATTTTATTCTGTAAAAGCTAAGTACTTTTGTGGGGCGATGGCCGCAAAGAAGTCAGACCTGGATACCTCTGCATTACATGTCAACTAACTTGTAACTAACTACTTCTGGACATAAATTATCAATAAAAAACAATTTTTTTACATATTAATTTATTTAATTTATATTCAAGAATGCATCTTTGTTTATGTGGCTTCATATTCTGCAGTTGGTGGTCGTATATTCGAATTATGTCAGACGTAACATCAAAATGATAATATAAAATTTTGAACGTCATTTTATTTGTCCTGAACTCGAAAAAGTGTTTGTGAAGTGCAGAAAAAAATGAGTTCAGAGTAGTTTTTGTATGAGGATTTTTAAATAGAAACTTAGTAAGAACACAAACTCCTGATTGCGTCTGATTGTCTCCTGCACGACTTTACAACTCAGTTCAAGTTGGTTTTGTCATAGCTAATTAAAAGTGAGGTATTTATCGAAATCCCGCCAAAAAGCTAATTACAAGATGTTTATTCTTAACAATTGATAACTTTTCTCTGCAGGGTGGTTGAAGCCATCTTTAATATATAATAAATTTATGTGAAAGGTCTGAAATTTTAAGGTAAAGTAATTGCTTAGTTTTTATTCAACAACCCATTGTAATAATTAATTTAACCCATTGCGTATATCGAATTTATTTTTATAAACCAGAGAAAATCTTGTTCAAAATAGTTTCAAACTTAAACCTTGTTAAACCGTTTTCGCCTGACACACATTTTGTGATACATACAGGGTGTTCCAAAAGGCGGCGTCAAGCCGGAAATGGGTGACAGGCCAGATCATAATAGTTATCACTATTTTTAAAATTATAGGCGTTCAAAAAAAAAACGAAAAAATCTACACCCTGTGATGGTTTTTTGAATGACGTTACCGCAAATTTCTACGTTTTCTCAATTTTATTTTTATTACGTAATTCTGAGAAACGCATCTGTAAATTTTCGTCTAAAATTTATAACCAACTGCTATAGCTTGGAAGAAAATTACACATTCTGCCCAAAAAATGATTGAAATTTAATGCTTTGGTCAGTTTTAACTGACTACTGAAAAACATGTGATGCACTAGTTTGGCAAGTAACTAAGGACTCCAAAATTATGCAATTTTGATTTTTGTAATGAAACTCAAATTTCAAATACTTACTTACGACCATATTATTGACTTGTAGTTATTCCTTAGTTTATTAGCATTAGTTATTCTCATGATACCAAAAAGAAGGAAGTTACATTGTCACTTTTCCGTCGCCATATTTACAACCAGACAATTAAGTAGATTGTGACATTTCGTGCTACCGTATCTAATATCTAAAATCCTCAAAATTTTGTTATTAATTTTTTGTTTATTTACAAAAATTTTGTTCTTAGAATCGAAATTTGAACAAGCGAAAGGTATTTTGTTGGGTACGACGCGGTTATTTGTACAATAATTTTGGGTTATTGTGTCCAAACGCTTAACCCAAAGCAAAAAATGTTAATACACACGTGTGGTCAAACAATTAAAGGTTAGTTTAAAATAAAGATTTAAAATTTTTAGATACAAATTTATGAATAAATTCGGTTTGAAATATAGACCTTTTTGTAAAAAATACCGTGGTCAACGTAGCCGGAGGTGGACTGATGAGGGTTATTTTTTCTAAGCGCTGTCGAAAGCCTACAACGTGTAAAGGTATTTTGCGCAAAAATTGTACGCCATTTTTCAATGGGTCCCCCCTCCCCATCCAAAAACCATTGCACAAATAACCGAACATTTCCCCTTTTGTTTTTGAAAGAGAAGGGCTATGTCGAGGCAATAATAAAAGCGGTAATACTGCAGCACTGATGAAAATTTGCCATACTGTTTGTTGTAACTCCTATGGCGCAACGACCAATTTTAATAGCTTAATACCACGTTTGAGTTTAGATGTTTATTTCAAGTTAATGTGATGGCGCTTTAAAAAGTCTAAATTGTACAAATTCAGTATTAATATAATAATACATTGGCGCTTACACATATGTTAGTGTTTGGCCGAGCTTCTCGTCCGATTTGTGGCGTGCGCCTTAATGTTGCCACACAAAGCGGAGGGACCTACAGTTTTACGCCCACTCCGAACGGCGATTGTATTTTTATGATTGCATTTATCATGGCAGAAATGCACTCGGAGGTTTGCCATTGGCTGCCGAGGGACGACCGCTGTTAAGAAAAAACCTTTTTTTTCTATATTTTTTTGCGATGTTGCTTTGACCAGGGCTTGAACCCAGGTGCTGGGGAGTGGAAGCGCGCACTGCTTACCACTACACCGCAGCGGCCGAAAAATTCAGTATTGAATAATATAAATTGAATTTTTTCACTTACTTTGGTCGCCGGCTATTTCACAATTAGGGATGGTAAAATGAGCCGGGTTACCAAGCAATCAAAATGATATGAGTTGCCATATCAAACAAACAGAATCGATTTAATAATTTTAATAAGCTTAATGCTACCATATTAGTAAGGAGCCGAATTCGTAGCATCTTGGTCGGAGGCTCACCATACCTAGTCTTCATTTTCATTATTCGATTGAGGAGAACGTACGTTGAGAATAGCGAGTTTGGCAGCAGGGCGATGGCAATCCCCGCTGGTTATATGCGCGATCGCGCTTCTTACTTGCCTGTCCTTTCCAGGAAAGACTTGAGTGATAATACCTTTCGGCCATTGGTGACGCGGTAGATTTTGATCGACAATGATACACACGTCCGCTACTTCTATAGGACGCACTCGGTCGAACCTCTTTGTACGTCCAGTCATGTCAGGCAGGACTTTCGACACCCACCGTTTCCAACACTGATCAGCGAGTAACTGTGAGTATCTCCATGAATGCTTAAAGTATTGGTCGCGGTCGCTGAAGATGCCTACTGGCTCGTCGTTACTTGCACTACCAAGGAGGAGGTGGTTGGGGGTCAGTACCTCTTGTTCAGCCGTGTCAAGTGAAAAATAAGTTAACGGTCTGCAGTTGAGAATGCTTTCCACTTCAACCAATAAGTTGTGAAGGACTTCATCAGTCAATTTAGTTGTTGGCGTGACGATCTTATACATCGTGTTCTTGACTGATCGTACAAGGCGCTCCCATTGACCTCTCATATGCGGGCTTGCGGGTGGTATAAATGTCCATGACATGTCTGGGGAGGTAAACTTGTGTTGCAGATTCAGGAAATCGATTTCAGACTGATATAAGGTCTTGCCTGCGGCCTTTAAATTCGTGCCATTATCACTGAAGATTTTTGGATTCGAGTTCGTTGTCAGATGACACCGTTTTTACCCAAATAAGGTTAGAACTTACGCAAAATACTGTTCTTTGGTAGAGCGGTTGTAGGTTCTTTTTAAATCTGCTGTATTTCCACACTAAACTCCGGTCATTGGGCTAGTTTAAACAAAATTTTTGACTCCAGCTAAGCTCTTTCACTGTCAGATTTTTCACCTCCGGTATTTTAACGTTGGCTTTTCTTACTTTTATTCGGATTTCGGTCGGATTTGTACTTCTTTGCCGCAAGCATGGAGCTCACAAACCTTTTAACGTATCCCATGCAGCGGATCAGTCTTTCCCACTTACTAACTCTTGTACAGGTCACAATACAATTAGTGCCTGTAGAGTGAATTGTTACATAGTGAAGAATTTCTTCCTTGCCGGTTTTCTCGCTTTCGTCAATATCGTGTCCTTCAATATTATGCTCACGCGGTACTTTCGGCGCACGCAGCCAAGCAGGGCCCACAAACCATTGTTCGAACTGAAATCAGGGTTGTGTTTCCATTTCGTTGCAATATCTACTGCGTTATTCTTAGATTGAACATAGCGCCATCTTTTAATGTTTGTTAGTTCTTGTATCTCGGCAACTCGACATATTACGAACTGCTTAAAGTTTCTTGGATAATTGAGGAGCCATTGCAATTCGGTTCGGGAGTCCGTCCAGAAGGTTGTTGACCTAACTGACATGTCGTGTGATTTAATAATTACGCGACTTAAACGAGCTCCCAATACTGCTGCCATGAGCTCCATTCGCGGCACCGACACGGGGCGAAGTGGGGCCACTTTGCATTTCGAGCAAACAAAACTTACTTCAATACTACTTTCGTGTTCAAAACGGAAATACGCTAATGCCGCGTATGCGTACTCGCTAGCATCGGTGAATACGTGGAGCTCTATTTTGCTTTCTTGCTTTCCCAGTGACCCAAAGTAGCACCGCCGAACCTGTACTTGGTTGACAGTGGGTAAAGCACGTAACCACCGCGTCTATTCGTGTCGTAGATTATCAGAGATCACTTCATCCCAGTCCGTGCTGCTTCGCCATACCTTCTGCATCAAGATCCTTGCATGTATCGTGAAAAAACCCAGGAAACCAAGTGGGTCAAAAATTAACATGACTAAACGCAGTAGTTCGCGTTTAGTTGGCATGCGCTCGGCTTGTAGAACCTCGGCGCTTGCTTTCGTATATTTGAGCGAAAATGTGCATGTATCCTGACTAGTCTTCCACCACAAGCCGAGAACCTTGTCAACCTCAAAACCTTGTTCCTTTCTGTTTCCGGCCTGACAAAAGTCACCTTCGGAGCCTTCATCTCCAAGGGCTGCAAGTACCTGCGCAGAGTTAGAAAGCCACCCGCGAATATGGAAGTTGGCGTTTTGGTGTATCTCACTTACTTCCCTTGCGAGAGTTACTGCCTCCTCTATGGTGTCCACGGAGTCCAGCATATCATAGACATAATGTCTTTCAAGTACCGATTTAGCCGCGCGAGGATACATATGTTGGTGTTCATAAGCGTTTTTGTTTTTTACAAATTGGGCTACCGAAGGGGAGCACCTTGCACCAAAGCTCATAACGGTAAGTACGTAAACGTCTGGGGCACGTATTTTATCACAGTCTCGCCATAAGAATCTTTGAAAATGTTGGTCTTCTGACTCTACATCAATTTTTTGATGCATTTCGCGTATATCACCACTTATTCCTATTCGCCCGACGCGGAAATTAAATAGTACTTCGATGAGTGGTGTTAGCAGGTCATGTCCCTTCTCGAGGCATTTATGGAGGGAGAACCCTTGGTGTTCGACCGCGGCATCCCACACGAGTCGAATCTTGTTTGGCTTATTCGGGCTAGTTACAGCGGAAACTGGTAAATACCATTTCCGTGGGTATTTCGCAAATACTTTATCGTGCTGGAGTATACGCATTATCCTTTGATTTTCATTTGCTTTACCTTTTCATCGACTTGAGTTTTCAGCATCGCGTCCTGCGCGATTGTCGCTTCAAAGCAATGGTCGTAAGACCATTAAGTAGTTATCAGGCAGGTTCATACGTTCTTGTTTCCATAGGAGCTTGGAAATGAAACTTTTCACATCCCGTTGGGTTGTCTTTTCTAACTTTGAAAACTGGCCGGGTGAAAAACCCACGCGTGTATCGTGCTCAAGACTCAAGTCATCGAAGTTCATTTTTTCAGCTACCAGCTTGCGTAGGGATATATCGTCCTTCCATTCGTGAACGTGGAGCTGAAAAACGCAATCGCTGTAATTCACCGCGCCTTTTGAACTTGACCCAGAGTACCAGGGACTGTCCAGCCCAATCTTGTCTTGACAGCAGCAGGCTCATATGGCTTACCCTCTCTGTACTTCAGTGGTATAGCTCCACGTACGTTGTTCAGGCCGAATATGATTCTCGGCTCAGCTCCCTGCTACGAGTGGAGCGGTAGACCACGTAAATGTTTGAATCGTTTTTGAATTTCCATTACGTTGAGAATTTATTTTGGTTAATCTAAACTTCGTACCGTGTATTTACGCACATTGCAAAGCATTATTTTTGTATTGTTTTCTACAGGTGAGATTTCTAGATTTACTGCTTTAGAGTTATCCTCTACTGGCATGGTTCCATCTGTCCATTCGGGCATGATGCAGGCCAGTCTATACCCATTCTGTTAATAATGCTTTGGTCGATCAATGTTGGATCCGACCCGTCATCCATAAATGGTGACAGGAACGATCTTGTAAAGTACTTGTGAACTCTTTGCATGTTGGCTTGCAACCAAGGCATTCTCGCTTGCTGAATTATGGAGTTTCGGATGATGCTTGGCGGTGCAGTTATCAACTCCACACACCTTGCGCTCGCGACAATATTGTGGATTATGTGGCTTCAAACAGGAGCAGCGCATGCTATATTTGTGTACAGATTCCCATCTTTCATTATAACTTGCACTTTCGAAACTTGGACATCCTGCTAATTCGTGTTTGCCGCTGCATATAGAGCATTTGAACTCTCCTTGACATGAGCGCTCTTCTTGTACGTTTACTCTTTGGGATTTGCGTTTCTTCGTGTCACTTGTTGTTCGACT